AATTTTTACTCAGTCCTATTAATAGATGAATTTATCGTTATTTCCTTTTTAGGCAGGGTTCTTGTTTATGATTGACATAAATTATTCCCATTAAGTTACAGAACTGAAAGAAGTAAAGAAATTGGTAAATTTGTGGCTGGAGAGATGGCTCAGTGGTTAAGAGCACTGGCTATTCTTGCAGAGGACCCAGGTTCAATGCCCAGCACGGACATGATGGATAACAACCATTCTAACTCCAGTTCCAGGGGATCTGATGCCCTCTTCTGACCTCCAAGAGTATTTCATGACACAGGTGCACTGGCAAACATTCAGGCAGTATGCTCAAACACATAAAATCAAAAAAGGAAAAGCGTATATATATATATGTATATATATGTATATATATATGCATATATTGGTCTTTTTGAGACAGGGTCTCCCTGTAGCCCCAGCTGTCCTGGAACTCATGATGTAGATCAGTCTGACTTTGAACTCACAGAAATCTGCCTGCCTCTGCCTCCTGACGCTGGGTATTTTTAGAGGTGTGCAATTTTTTTTAAAAAGAAAGAAAGAATCAAATCTAATGCCTATATCTAGTAAGGGAATTTGGGGTTTCCAGTACTAAAACTAATCGAAATAAAAAATTTTCTAAACTGTTGAGAGAATCTGAGTTCTCCCCATGCTTTTTCATATCTTTCTGAGTTGGATGCTTAATTCCCAAGGTAACTTCTAAAACCAAAGAATGAGGTGGAAAAGGCTATGTACCACACATGAGAAAAAATGCTTCTACCACTATACATTCTTGATCTTTTTAATGCAATTGTTTGCCAATATAATTAGTATTAATTGAGATATAACACAACACAAGTTTCCTAAACATAGTTCTATACTGAACAATAGCACAAAAATATGTTTAAGGACAATGAAATTATATCTAGAAATTCATATCAAAGTGAATAAATAACTACCATGGTAACCTCTTTCAGACTCATGTAAAAGTAGTGACTTCTAATTTGAAGTATTATTCACAGTTGATGGTTAGAGGCAATTAATGGGGACAATATGTCAGAATAGAGACCCCCAGCACTTGCCAGCTCCCCACTGAATAGAACCTAGTCAGCAGGTGTATAGCTGCATGTGGAGGTGAATGGGAGACCATTAAAGTCAGCGGAAGGAAGGTGAAACCCTCACGAAGTCCAGGGACCTGACAAAGCAGCCAAGAAAGCTGAATGACACACCCACCACCCGATGTCCAGCTCCATACCAGTGACAGGGTGTCTCTTCCTCCAGGAAGCAAGGTTAAAAGAGAGGCCCAGCAAGCTCTGTGTGCAGATACCAGCTTGCAGATAAACAGCCTATTCAAATCAGAGAACTAGTCTGTTCAACAGACTGATTTTTAGAAAAGTTCACCCCATCCTTCAGTAAACTTTCAAGATTCCAACACAGGAGCTATAAGGAGACAGGAAATTCTTACATATTTCATTTCTGGAACCCCATCATTGCTCTTCTAAATTGACTCAGTGGATAGCTGTCTCCCACGATAGTCTTGACTCCGGAATGGATTCTAACACAGACTCTTTGAGAGTTCTGTATTTTGTAGGTAACATGGAACATGAGCAAAGACAGAGAAATGGGGGGAACCACCATCTTGAATGAAGGAATGATGACCCTGCCCACTGTTACTGAAATCACTTGATTTCACGCTGCTTTGGTGCCAGGACTGAAGGCTCTGGGGCAGCAGACCATGGAGCTCTACCACTCCTCCTGGTACAGAACGTTCCTGCACCTCTACCCCTGTCCTCAGACACAAGGGATGGTCTTAAGCAAGCCACTAAGGCTCTGTATTTTCCCCTTCTCCCCTCCCAGTTGTTCAGACTAAGATGTTTCAAGAGAAAATTATGCCTGGTTCTGCCCAGATTCCTCAGCCAGGTGGGAGCCATTCCAACCTGATTCAGCAGCAACCGACCAGTCTGAGCGGTACTGTAACTGAAACAAATGGGGAACCCCTGGATGGTGCCTTATCCCCAGGATACACGACCTAAGAATTCCTGTAAAGAAGCTTTTCTTTCTTTCTTTCTTTCTTTCTTTCTTTCTTTCTTTCTTTCTTTCTTTCTTTCTTTCTTTCTTTCTTTCTTTC